ATTTCAGAAAAAGAGACGCACACAGACTGAGGGTGAAGGGATAGTAAAAGGTTTTCCAGGCGAATAGAAATGAAAAAAAAAAAAAAAAGCTGGGGTAGCAATACTTATATCTGACAAATTAGATTTCAAAGTGAAGGACATAACAAGAGATAATGAAGGCCACTTCATAATACGAAAGGGAGCAATCCAACAAGAAGAAATAACCCTGATAAACATATATGCATCCAATACAGGAGCACCCAAATACATAAAAAAAAAACAAAAACAAAAAAAAAACAACTATGGTAGGACATTAATGAAGAGATTAATAGCAATACAATCACAGTAGGGGATTTTAATACCCAACTATCACCTTTGGACAAATCATCTAAACAAAAAATCAGCAAAGAAGCATCAATCCTAAATGATGCACTAGACCAGATGGAATTAATGGACATCATCAGAACATTTCACCCCAAAGCCACAGAATATACATTCTTCTCAAGTGCACATGGGTCATTTTAAAAGATAGACCACATGTTGGGACATAGGCAAAGTCTCTTCAAATTTAAGAAGATAGAAATCATATCAAGCATCTTCTCAGATCACAGTGGCATAAAACTAAAAATTAACTACAATAAAAATAATCCAAGGAAACCAAACACATGGAGAATAAACAGCATGCTATTAAACAATGACTGGGTTACCAGAGAAATCAAGGAAGAAATTAAAAACATCCTGGCAACAAATGACAATGAAAACACAACAATCCAAAATCTATGGGACACAGCAAAGGCAGTTTTAAGAGGGAAGTTCATATCACTACAAGCCTATTGCAAAAAAAACAAGAAAAAATGGTAACAAATGATCTAACTCTACAACTCAAAGAGTTGGAAAAAGAGCTACAAGAAAAGCCCAGTGTAAGCAGAAGGAAGGAAATAATAAAAATCAGAGCAGAGATAAATGACTTAGAGACCAAAGAAACAATACATAAGATCAACAAAACCAAGAGCTGGTTCTTTGAAAGGATAAACAAGATTGATGAACCTCTAGCCAGACTAACCAGGAAACAAAGAGATAGGACTCAAATAATCAAAATCAGAATTGAAAGATGTGAAATAACAACAGACTCCGCTGAAATACAATGGATTGTTACAAAATACTATGAACAATTCTATACCAACAAACTGGACTACCTGGAGGAAATGGACATATTCCTAGAAAAATACAAACTTCCAAAACTCAATCAGGAAGAATCTAAGCACCTCAATAGAGCAGTGACTTTGGAAGAAATTGAAACAGTCATCAAAAAGCTTCCAGCAAACAAAAGCCCAGGGTCAGATAGCTTCACAGGAGAGTTTTACCAAACATTCAAGGAAGAACTAAAACCTATCCTCCTCAGACTATTCCAAAAAATTCAAGAGGAAGGAACACTTCCAAACTCCTTCTATGAAGCCAGCATCACCCTAAAACCAAAACAAGATAAAGACAACACAATCAAAGAGAATTACAGGCCAATATCCCTCATGAACATAGATGCCAAAATCCTCAACAAAATTCCAGCAAATCGGATCCAGCAGTACATCAGAAAGATTATACACCATGATCCAAGTAGGATTTATTCTGTAATGCAAGGATGGTACAATATCCACAAATCCATAAATGTGTCACATCACATAAACAAATTAAGAGATAAAAATCATATACTCATATCAATTGATGCAGAAAAAGCATTTGATAAAATCCAACACCCTTTCCGGATAAAAACTCTCAACAAGGTGGGAATAGAAGTATCATAACTCAACATAATAAAAACTATATATGATAAACCCACAGCCAACATCATACTCAATGGACAAAAACTAAAACCATTCCCTCTAAGAACAGGAACAAGACAGGGATGCCCACTCTCACTACTCCTGTTTGACATAGTACTAGAAGTACTAGCTATTCAATTAGACAGGAAGAAGAAATAAAAGATATCCAAATTGGAAAAGAAGAAGTAAAATTGTCCTTATTTGCAGATGGCATATTGTATCAATACATAAAAAACCCAAAAGACTCCATCAAAAAATTAATAGATTTAATAAATGAATTTGGCAATGTAGCAGGATACAAAATTAATGCCAAAAAATCTATGGCATTTCTATACACTAATAGTGAATTTACAGAAACAGAGACTAAAAAAGCAATCCCATTTACCGTCACATTAAAAAAATTAAGATACCTAGGAATAAACTTAAATAAGGAGGTAAAAGACCTATACATGGAAAACTACATGACACTGAAAAAAGAGATAGAGGAAGATGTAAACAGATAGAAGAACATACCATGTTCAAGGATTGGTAGAATCAACATCATCAAAATGTCCATACTCCCCAAAGCAATTTATAGGTTCAATGCACTCCCCATTAAAATACCAAGGGCATATTTCACAAACCTAGAAAGAACTCTCTAAAAATTCATATGGAACAACAACAAAAAAAGACCCCGAATAGCCACAACAATCCTGAGAAAGAAGAGTAAAATAGGAGATATCTCAATACCAGATTTCAAGCTGTATTACAAAGCCACTGTTCTCAAAACAGCCTGGTACTGGCACAAGAACAGACATATAGATCAGTGGAATAGAATGGAGAACCCAGATATCAACCCAAATCTCTATGCTTAATGAATAGTTGACATAAGAAGCACAAACATACAATAGAGTCAAGACAGTCTCTTTAATAAATGGTATTGGGAAAATTGGACAGATACATGCAAAAGAATGAAACTAGATCACCAACTTACACCATGCACAAAAAATAAACTCAAAATGGATAAAGGACTGAAACATAAGACAGGAAACCATAAAAAATACTAGAGGCATCCACAGGCAGCAAAATCTCAGACATATGCCAAAAGAACTGGTACTGCCCCTAGGGCAATGGAAGCTAAAGAGAAAACAAACAAATGGGACTACATCAAAATAAAAAGCTTTTTTACAGCAAAAGAAACCATCAACAAAACAACAAGAAAGCCCAGTACATGGGAGAACATATTTGAAATGTTATCACTGATAAAGGTTTAATCTCCAACATCTACAGACAGCTTATACAAATTAATATAAGGAAGATAAATGAGCCAATTAAAAAATGGGCAATGGACCTAAATAGAATATTTTCAAAAGAAGACAGAAGGAAGGCCAAGAGGAACATGAAAAGATGCGCAAAATCACTAATTATCTGAGAAATGCAAATCAGAACGACAGTGCAGTACTATATCACACCTGTCAGAATGGCATCAACAAATCAACCATCAACAAGTGTTGGTGAGGTTGTAGAGAAAAAGGAACCCTCATGCACTGCTGCTGGGAATGCAGACTGGTGCAACCACTGTTCTATGGAGAACAGTATGGAGTTTCCTCAGAAAACTGAAAATGGAACTCCCATTTGACCCAGTAATCCCACTCCTAGGATTATATCCAAAGAAACTAGAAACACCTATAGGAAAGGATATATGCACCCTTATGTTCATAGCAGTATAATTTACAATAGCTAGGATTTGGAAACAGCCTAGGTGCCTGTCAGCAGATGATTAGATCCAAAAACTATGGTACATCTACACAATGGAATACTATGCTGCCATAAAAAAGAAGGAATTCTTATCCTTTGCAGAGCCCTGGATGGAATTGGAGAACATTATGCTGAGTGAAATAAGCCAGTCAATGAAAGAAAAACACCACATGACCTCATTTATTAATGGATAATAAAGAACATTATAAACTGATGAACCTAAAGATAGATATAGAGAGAGTAAAGCAACAGCAGACTGTCAAATTACAGCGGAGAGGGTAGGGAGATATGGTGGAGATAAGAGATCAACCGAAGGTCTGATATGCATGCATATAAGCATAACCAATGGATGAAAAACTGTGGGGAGGGAAGTCATGCATGGGAGAGGGGGGATTGGTAAGGTACATACACATATTATACCTTAATAAATTCTAAAACATAAAAAAAAATAACATCGACAAAAAGTCCTATAAACTGATAGATTAAATACAAAGTTTAGAATCAATAAGTTGACTGTACACTCAGTAATAATTAATTTTAAAAATAGAAGTCTAAATTTTTAAACACTATTTTTAATATAGTGTAACAATTTTCACTAAAAATATTTTGAAGTCAATTATCAGAGGACACTGCTCTTAATTAACAAAAAGATAGATTTTAAATCTCAATTCCTGTCCATTTCTGGGTGTCAAGGCCTATAACCAGTCAAGTCTGAAACAAGTGCAACTGAGAAGGTGGTCTCTGTGAAAGAGCTCTATCACAAAAAAATGGCCAATTAAAAATTCCTTTTCTATTTATTAAAATCAATCCTCAACCAATTCTCTTCTTCCACAGCATAAAAAGGTTTATAAATTCTAAAACATACAGCCATTTTCTTTTAAACTAGTTTTTCTTTTCAACATCTTATGATTTCTACCTTTTTTGTTAGTTTCCAATACGTTTCCTTGATCCTAAGCTATAAGAACCAACCAAAAGCCTTTCCAAATTATAATATACTAGAGGTCTGCTGTACAAAATTTTTACACAGGAGTGGGCGGTATTCCCTAGCCTGGCCTGCATCCTCTTGCAATCTGGGTCCCCTTGGGGGATGTCTAACTGCCAGTTTAGGCCTGAGACCTCAGAGTTCCCTGTGGGACTCTGCAGTTGGACATGCCTCTTCACAATCCAGGACTGCTGGCTCATAACCACTAACCTGGCTGCCTGCCCTATCACCCCTAACCACTCACCTGTTTGTCTCATTGCCTCTACCCCTCTCCCTGCCTACCTGATCACCCCTAACCACTCACCTTCCTGTCTGATTGCGCCTAACCCCTCTGCCTGCCTGCCAGATTGCCTTTAACTGCTCCCTTGACTGCCTGATTGACCCTAAATACCTCTGCCTCACCCCCACTGCTGTGGCTTCATCCAGAAGGACATCTAGAAGGTCATTCAGCTGTCCGGTCTAATTAGCATATTACCCTTTTATTATTATGATTTGGAATTCTTCGCATAGACTAACAAAAACAAAGTTGACTTACCAACAAATATTAGATAAACTAATCCCAGTAATGACACTAAGGCTGTAATAACCAAGCCTGAAATCAGAAGAGAACTATGCACTGGGCTGCAATCTAAAAAAACAAATAAAATTTTGTATTAGAAACTCACATGAAATAATTGAACTTCTTAAAAGAATGAATAACAGAAATTACATTAAATTTTAGGGAGAGTAATTATTTTTCTCATTATTAAGGTTCCTATGGAGGAACCTTAAATGCACACTAATTAGTGAAAGTAGCCAATGTGACAAAGCTAGATACTATATGATTTCAAGTATAAGACACTTTGGAAAATGCAAACCTATCGAGGCAGTAAAATGATTGGTGGTTGCCAGGGGTTTCAGAATAGGGAGGATGAACAGGAAGAGCACACAGGGTTTGGGAGAAGGTAAACTGCTACATGATAATCTATGAGTATGGTCCATATCATTATACATTTATAAAAATCATAGAACACACAACACCAAGACCGCACCCTTATGTAAACGATGGACTTTGGGTGATAATGTTGTGGCAATGTTGGTTCAACAGACTGTAACAAATGTACCACTTGGTGGGAGATGTTGATAGTGGAGGAGGCTGTGAGCAGATGAAGTAGAGGGGGATTCTGTATTTTTCCACTCCATTTTGCTATCCTAAAATGCTCTAGCAAATAAAACCTGTATATTTAAAACAGAGTAAGAAAGACAAAGGAAAGGAAAGAGAAAAGGGGCTCTGAGAGAAATTGCTGGTCAAAGAGAAATTGTTTTGAGAAGACTGTGACCCTTACCTGAGACAGAGAGGCTTAGTCCGGCCAGAGTGATAGAGAGGCCCAGAGCCTGCATGGCCAATAAGATGATGTTGACGTAGTGCATCCCATTAACTGGAGCTTCAAGGAAAAAGCATGTTGCAAGTGTTTAAGAAGCAATAACTTCCACTTGTATTTTATACAGTCAAGGTCAGTATCCTCGGACCAACGACTAATTCTGGAACTCCCTGCCAGGTGGTGGCTGCTTTCCCAGTGACCTAGCCATCTCTCTCCACTCCTGGAGTCAGCTCCACATTCACACCCTCAGCAACCTTTCGTTTTTGCTGGAGCTAGGCTGGATTGTCAGTTTTTACCCCAGATCTTAGAACAATGCTGCTTTTACCACACGTGTGTATTTTCTTTTTCTTTTTTTTTTTTTTTTTTTTTTTTTTTTAATATACTTTATTGACTTTTTCAGAGAGGAAGGGAGAGGGATATAAAGCTAGGAACATCAATGAGAGAGAAACATCGACCAGCTGCCTCCTGCACACCCCCCACCAGGGATGTGCCCGCAACCAATGTACATGCCCTTGACCAGAATCGAACCCGGGACCCTTCAGTCCACAGGCTGACGCTCTATCCACTGAGCCAAACCAGTTTCGGCACACGTGTGTATTTTATAATAGGGGTGGTCATTAGCAGGGCTTCACCACATGCACACAAAATCGCAACCCAGAGATAGACTCTCATACCAAGAGTTAAATGTGCAAATGGAAAAAGAAAAAAATAGGTTCTTTAATAAGAAAAATATTTAGTGATTTAATCCAAAAATGTAGTGAAAAATGTTACCAATTATAGGTTGGATAGCTCTATCATCTTTTAAAACTCAATGTTGAAGGATGCCCAAAACCAAACAAGAAATGGTTGGAACTGCATCAACACCATTTGTCAAACAATCAGATCTGAAATATCATGACTGACATGTACACATAAGGAACTGTTTGACATTGAAATGGGGATTCTGTTGACCCAGAAAGGAACTCACTACAGACTGAGTCATTCGCCTCTCAGCATAACCATTATGGCTTGTCTCAGTTTCAGTCCTTATAGAAGAATTCCTTGTATCACATAATCTAATGCATCTAGGGGAAATAATGGACAACATAAACTGATGAACAGGAATAGACCTGGAGACAGAGAAGCAGCAATCAGATTGTCGGGCGTCAGAGGGAAAATAGGGGAGGGGACGGGCAAAGGGGAGATATCAACCAAAGGACTTGTGTGCATGCATATAAGCCTAACCAGAAGTCATGAATAACACGGGGTGGGCATACATGCGGATGGGCTTGGGATGGGAATGGGGTAATGAGGAGAATTATGTGACACCATAACCAATAAAGAAATTAAAAAAAAAGATTTGTAATAATTCTTTATGATTTACAACACTATTTTGTATAACTAGTTTTTTAAGAGTTTTAGCAAAAGAAGAGAATGAGAATGTTTATTATCTATTCATAATTTCAAAAACTGAAATAAGAATATGAAGATCATCATTAAGAAATTATATAGTATAATTTTAAAAATCCATTGGCTGGCATTAAAAATATCTCTGAAAATCAGTTTTTATAAAATAACTATGTTAAAAACCTAATATAACATTAAAATTAATCCATATGGGGGAAATTTTTCACTAAGAATAGCTAAGGAGACAAACCAACCTTTATTGTATTATAAAAATGCAAGAATTATTTTAATCAAAAATGCTTTTTAAATGAAAAATGACACAACCATGCTAAAATAATAAATACGTACCTATAATAAACATAGAGGTCTGACATAATACTAATATTATTGTAGGTACTACAATTAAACCGAGTCCAGTGGCCCTCATTGTTGAATATATACCTGTTGATAAATAAAATTAACATTTAAACTATTTTCCTACATAGTTTCTACACTGTGGGAAGTTAAAGTACTTAATTTATTAAATGTATTAATCTGAATACTGCAGAACTTTTAAAAATAAATGCTTTCCCTAAAACCTCACACAAAATAAGTGACAATTTTTTTATTTAAGACCAAACTGAAGACATCTAAATGTCCACAGCTAAGTCTCAACAAGTCAAAACCTTCATTTGCCTTTTTCTCATGAACTACCTTGGAGCCTCTTACCATTCCCTTCATTTGCTATATTCAGTCTGCCCCAAAATCAAAACAACCATTCTTTGTAGTTGTCTTCTTAATTCATCTCTTTCTTCCCCACACCCTCACTAACTCCAGCTGCAAAGAGAGCTGCCAAATTTCTGTTCCTAAACATTAGACCCATATTGTATTCTTTTAATGAAATGAAGGCTTTCTACTGTCTCCACTTCTAGTCCCAGCCTATCCCAGCTGTTCTTTGCATGGGCTGCATATCCTCATTTCCCAATCTCATTCCCATCTTCCAAAGGCAAATGCAGTTTCAGATTGATTTGTTTCCCATGTTCATTCCCAGTTCCATGTCTTGGCCTGTGAAGTTTGCCTTTGCAGTGGGTTGAACGGTGGCCCTAAAGATCTGCCCACCTCCTAATTCCTGGAAGCTGTGAATGTTAATTCATACAGCCAAAGAATGAGCATTACATTATATGAATTAGTTTAGGTTCTTGAAAGAAGGAACTTACCCATAGACTTATGAGGTGGGGCCTAAATGATAATTGCCTTTGGAAGAGAGACACACAGGAGTTTTAACAGAGTGGAACTGGAGTTATGCTGCCACAAGCCAAGGAGTTGCCAGTTGCCAGCAAACACCAGAAAACAGAAGAAGCAAGGAAAGGATTCTCCCCTAGAGTTTCACCCCCACCCCAATGTTCTCAACCTTATCAATCATGACTTCCCTCACAGTTACTGCACATCTTACCTGGGGTGAATAAAATGACTCCAACAATGACAAATATACTGAGGATTAGTCCAGTCACAGATAAAATGATGATTTTCTCCTTCGTAATATTGGAATTATATTTAAGTACTTGAAAGAAAAAAACACACATACACACACACAAAGAATTACATGAACTCAATATCAAGAAGTGAAGTCATTTCTGTAACTTAAAAAGTGCAGAGACAAACTGATAACTTCCTATAATTGACTAACCTTTGAGTAATAACCCAATTGTATAATGTCCAGACACCTCAAATCTTTTTCATAATTCTGTCAATGTCTAAACAGTGTCATGGCACTATATATATATGTATGGATGCTGAATTTATGGGTGATGCTTTTATTACTTTACACCTTAAAGATAAAGTCGTATACACCATGCTTTCTCAATTGGAACATTATTAACATTGGGGCCAGATAAATCTTTAGGGCAGAAGGGGGGCTGTTCTGCACATTTAGAAGGTTTAGTAACATCCTTGTCTTCCTCCAAACTGCATACCAGTAACAGCCCCACTTGTATCAATCAATTGTGAAATGTCCCCTGAGGAGTAAAACTGCCTCAGCCTTACAACTGATATAAATAATGCTGATGGGAAGTAACTGGCTAATTAGTAATACTGAGAAAAAGAGAACTTTGTTCCACCTTCCATAAAAAGATAAACATCTGGAAATCTAGATACTTTATTTTGAAAAACTATAATAAATTTGGACTAATCACACCCTCCTGATATCCTGAAGGGGATGCTTAAATTATTCAGCTAATATATATATATATATATATATATATATATATATATATATATATATATATATATATATGGAGAGAGAGAGGGGGGGGAGGAGGGGGGGGAGGGGGGGAGGGAGAGAGAGAGAGAGCGTGCGCCAGGGTCCATAAGGACCAAGGATTGACTGAACATTTGAAGTCAGTGCTGGGTTGCCATGACAACCCAACACTGATTGCAGCTGGTGCTGGTGCAGTGACTCAGCATTTACTGTGCAGGGGGCTGTGGGTCAGGCCAGAGAGAGGCCTGCAGAGAGAGTCAGGGTCTGATCCAGGCTACAAGGCAGCTGTCATTGCCTCTCTCTTTCTTTCTCCTGGGTTTGGCAGCAGCCAATCCTGTTTCCCTCCAGGCCTTCTCTGGGGCTTCTGATCAGCCCTACCTCTTTGATCAGGCCCAGAGATCTTCCCTGAGATGCTGACTGGCATAGAAACTGACCATTCAGCACCAAATCTGTGTGAAGTGCCAGGAGCCAATGGCTGCCTAGGAGGTGGAACTTTTGACACTGACTGGCATTGAAACCAACCAATCAGAACTAAATCTGGGTGAACTGCGAAGGCAGAACCTAAGGTGGGGGCTGAGGAGGGGCTTTAAGGATAACAGCTGTTTGGTGTAAGATGAAAAAAGTGGTTCAATTTTTTCATGACTAGTTTGGTAGTATAGTGCATATGGCTGGCTATTAGTCCAGATAAAGGGATTATTATTATTATTATTATTATCATTATTATTATTATTTTGTCTGCCAAGAGCATCTCCTCCTGCTGAAAAAGGCTCTTCCCCACCCCCCCACCCATTTATGAAATCCTATATAATTTATCTAAACTATTAAAAGGGTAATATGCTAATTATACCAGGTCAACTAGCCATCTTCCAGACATCTGATTTCCTTCCAAGCAAAGTCATGGTGGTGGGGTCCAAGACAGAGGCTCTTAGGGCAATCAGGCTGGCAGAGGAGGCAAGTTGGGTGTGAGATCAGGATGGGGGCAATCAGGCCTAAGGGGAGGACAGTTGGGGGCAAGATCAGGCCTGCAGGGGAGAGCAGTTAGGGTTGATCAGGCAGGAAGGCAGTTGAGTGGTTAGAAGCCAGTAATCTCAGATTGCAAGATGAATGTCCAGCTGCCAGTTTAGGCCTGATCCCATCCTCCAGTTTAGGCCCGATCCCATAGGATCAGAGGTCCCCAATTGGAGAGGGTGCAGGTTGGGCTGAGGGAATCCCCCATTGCACAAATTTTGTGCACTGCATATATATATATATATATATATATATATATATATATATATATATATTTATTTATATATATATATATATATATATATATATATATATATATCCCTAATATGCAAATACACCAAATGGCAGGACAATCAAACAACTGAACAGCTAAACAACCTGTCACTATAACAGGTGCTGACCACCATGGGGCATGTGTGGAATATGGTGGGCATCAGCAGCAGGTGCAGAGTGCAGAACATGTTGGGCATTGGCTGTGGCAGGTTGGTGGAGCAGGTGAGTGGGGGCCCCAGACCAAGGCGGGGCATTGTGACTGTCATTAGGGCGAGCCTCTGGTGGTTACTGAAAATTCTTTGTTCCTGTGTGCTGTGGTCCCGCTGGGTGCTTGTACCTGCTGTTGGCACCAGAGCTGCCACTTGTATCCGCTGCCAGTGCCTGATGCTGGCCCTAATTGCTTGGTGCTTTCAGTGAGTGTGAGTGGCTGCTACCAGGCCCAATTGCTCCTCAGGGCTTCTCCACCTCTCCCTGCTCCTGAGGGTCAATCAGGGCCATCAGTTGCTGCTTGCATCCATTGCTAGTGATGGCCTCATTCACACCCACTTCCCTGGCTAGAGCTGTCATTTGCACCCACTTCCAGAGCCAACCCCAGTCGCACCCACAGCAGGTGCCCAATGCCAATCAGCATCATCAGCATTTACAAGTGGTGGCTGCTGGCTCCAATCGCCCCTGAGGGGTTCTCCACCTCCCCCTACTCCTGAGGAGAGATTGGGGCAGCAGCCACCACTTGCACCTGCTGATAGTGGAGAATAATTGGGGCCCGGTGCTGTCAGTATATAGGGGTAGTGGTGGTGGACTGGGGCTGCTGGCAGACGAGGGGTTGAGGGATGTGGTGGGAGAGGCCAGGCAGGGGTACAGATGGGCTGAAACCCACCCCTGGGCCCACCACAGTCTAACAGTCCACAATTCCTTTCAAGGTGCATGAATTCATGCACTGGGCTCCTACTACTTTTATAAAAAACAAACTATTCATACTCAACAGGACTCATTAACTCTATTTCCAAGTACCTGGTATCTCTTGGAAAGAATAATGTAATGGTTATGTCTAAAAATGTTATTTATTTTATTATATCTTCAGGTTAGTGTTTTGGTTAATAGTAAAATTAACTTTTTACCATAGAAGTTGTTAAAGTTACCTAAAAACAGACTGGATAGCAGAGAGAAACAGGGCATGAGTGAAATTCTGTTTTGTTTTATTCAGGCCACTAATCAATATCCTGAGAGGGCAATTTTAAAAAATGTTATATTTAGCATTAAGTTTGCTTCCACTAAAATGACAAACAGATTCAATACAGTAAGAGCAATAAATAATCTCATAAATGACCATGCTAACATCTATTCAAGGTATTATAACTTAGGGTTATATGATAACCTATGGCACCTGAAACACTACATATTCATACTTATTGATAATAGAGATTGAAGGTTCTACAAAAGGGTTATGAAATAGAAGCTGTTTCAAACGTTCATCACAAACATTCAAAAGATGCTCTCCCAGGCTTAATTGAATACATAAAAGTACTACTGAGATCAAGCAGCAAGAATTCACCTTTAGACTACAGTAAAAGTTCATGCAAAAAGGCTGACTTAATAAGAGTTTGATTCTCAAATAAAACTCAACCTCTTCAGGCTTACCAACAGTAACAACAAAAATAAAACACCATAAAATACTACAATTGATAATGTTTTACTATAGAACAACCTTTTGGAGGTAGTTTTAGTTTCTGTTGATGGGTTCAACTACTAAATATTTTCAAGGCTACTTCCAACTCCCATAAATTAAGCGACTATTTCTAATAAATATATTAGTAAAATCTACTTAATCACAGGCAGTGAAAGAGGATTTATCTCCATGTTTTGTTTAGGGAATCCTTTAAAATGAGTTTCTTTTGACTTATTTCCTTTGCCATAGTGGCCATTTTAGCACATCCCACAGAAAGTGAGGAGAAGGTATTTTATGATTCAATTGATTTTTTTTTTTCAGTGTAGAAAAAAGGGGTTGCAATCTGAAATACTTGTCATAGAACTCAGTAATCACAAGGAACCTTTTTTTGGCGATCTTTGTTTGTCCTTTAATAGGTATACTTATCCTAATTTGTCACATCTATTAAAAATTTTAAATGTAAACAAAGAAAATAAATTCAACTCCACAAACACTTAGCATTAAAATAAAGATAATTTAATGTGTTCTTAATGGGCTCTTATCAAACTTCCTAGTATGGTTTTCAGGCTTTTTGGCAAGACTATATAATTTTAAAAATATGTATCCTTTAAAATATTCCTCTCAATTAAAAGTATTGAAATCAACACACAAAGTAAAATATGAGAAATAACAGTTTTTACACATTTAAAGCACTGCTTTAGATTTACAAAATTTAAAGGGAGGTAAATACCACCCCTCTATACTTCCTGCCCCCCCCCCCCCACATGCGTACCTCCCTCATCATCAACATCAGCCACCAGAAAGATGCAATTTTTACCAAGATAAACTTTCATTGACACATCATAATTAAGTAGAGTCCATAGTTTGCATTAGGGTTTGTACATTCTATGGGCTTGGGCAAGTGAAAAATGACATCTATCCATCATCATACCCTGTTTCCCCCAAAATAAGACAGTGTATTATATTAATTTTTTCTCCCAAAGTTGCTCTAGGTATTATTTTCAGGGGATGTCTTATCTTTCCATGCGCTAGGTCTTATTTTCGGAGGATGTCTTGTTTTCGGGGAAACACGGTAGTATCACAGAGTATTGTCACTGCTGTAAAAATCCTCTCTGCTCTGCCTATGTATTCTGCCTGCACACACTTCTAGGAATGACTGGTCTTTTCATTGTTTCCACCACTTTGGCTTTTCCAGGATGTCTTGTATTTGGAAACATACAGCATGCAGACTTTTCAAATTGGCTTCTTTCATTTAGTAATATGCATTTAAGGTTTCTCCGTGTCCTTTCATAGCTCGATAGCTCATTTCTTTTTATCTGGATGTATCACAGTGCATTTTGCCACTCACCTACTGAAA